AGGTGTTGATCTCAACAGGTGTTGAGACCAGCAGGTGTTGAGACCAACAGGTGCTGGTCTCAACACCGGCCTCTTGGAACAGCTCCCATCGCTACCGTCATCATCACGAATCCCATCCGTCACCATCATCTCCATCTGGCTCCAGGCCTCCCCATCGTGATGTCTGCCACAAGTAGAGTGCGGCTCAAAATGCATCACAGCCGCATTGTGAGTAGCCACGGATAGAGTCGCGTGACACGAGAGATCGCGCTGCAACCCACTTGACACTCCCCACGGTAGCCCCGTGTGGGCCTGCATGGTATCTCGCTCCTCGTGGTCTCCGTGTCTGCTCCACACGCGCACGAGTGCGAGCTGCACGCTGGTCGCACGTGCAGCGCGCGTTCCCCCAAGTCCCCGCGCCTCCCGCGCTCCTCCGCAAACCTACAAAGGGATAGAGACGCAGCCCTGCAAGTTCTTGCTCACGCTACTGCTGGCAGAAGGGCCTCCATTCGAGGGCACTTGGTCTAATCTTCCACGCTGACCACACGAGTTGGAATAAGTGGGCCGCGTACCCACACTTTACCCCACCACACGAGACCCGCCGATCGACTCACTCTCGCGAACCCATTTACACTTCTGGGTGCGCAGAGGCAAAGGGGGTTCGGGAATTTAGCATCCCGTTCCTATCGTTGCAACTGGAAGTTGGTATTGAACCGGTGACCATGACGCCAGTGTGGCAGCCACATGGGATGGAGCGGCACTGCTCAGCTCGCCAAATAAAACTCCACGACGGCCGTGCGACCAATCAACAGAGCCGAGAAAACAGAGTTGAGCATTGATACGAAATCGAATGCCGTCCACCGCTTCTAAGACATCGGCGGGCGGGGAACAGGCGGTCAGCCACCACCAAGCGGCGCTCTCATTGCGCCAACAGTGGGCCACGCGCGGCCGTTGTCGACTGCATCGTCCGCGGTGTTGCCCCCTCGCTGACTCCACGGGGCGGCGCTGCGACCTTCGCAGCCGACGAGGGGCAGTCTCGGTTGAATCGCCGCGCCCTGGACATCGGTAGGTTCGGGATGGCCCTGTCACGACCGACTAGCCAAGTCGGCAAGCAGCCACGAGGACGGGCCCTGTCCCTGCTGCATACTCCGGTGCCCTGCCGCTAGCCCGAGCCGCCCGGTCAAGCTGCACCGAGCAAAACAACGCAGAATGCGCCGGATCCCACGGCGTCTCAAAAGCAGGGCTGAGCCAGGATGGCGTTCGGACGCGTGACCACCGTGGACGCCCTTGCGACAGCAGTGGAGTGAGCGAGCCATTGCAGAGCTGCGCCTTCACCCACCTTGTACGCGCCGCTGCCGGCGCAAGCGCCCAGGTGGGTCCGCGGTGGAGCGAGCGGCTCACAGTCGGAAGGGCGCGAGTTCAAGTCCTGGTTGGGGGCCCATGGGCACTCGGGGGTCGATAAAACGAGCACGAACTTCGTGGGGAAGTCAACAGGGATGGTCCAATGGAGAGACTCCCTTCTGCCATGGGAATGTGGAATTTGCACGACTGGCTCCAAGTTGTAAGCAGGAGATGAGCACCGCCAATGACTCAATGCTCATTTGAGCAGCAGGAGATTTCTTTGTCTTTGACCAGGAGCACACGTCCACGTGACTCTTCGGAACGGGTGGCGTGGCTTTCCCGGCGAGTGGATGCCCTCCCACCCATCCCCACTGTGACGCAGGGGAAGGCGTCACACCAACACAACAAAGCGCTGTTACTGCTCACCTCGCCATTCCCTCTGATCGTTCAAAGCGAACTCGCCTGAGATGTTTGTCCTATCGGGGCGTACCCAGAATTAGTAATATATGTACGTGTGTGTGTGCGCGCGTCGTTGTGTGCATGTGTGTTCTGGCCACCCACCCCCTCTTGTGCCGTGCCGGCTTTCATAGGCGCTCGCTAACAGCACTTGCTCCTTCAGTCTGTTAAGGCTACACGGGGGATCTTTGATCTTTGTTGTGCGTGTGTGAGATGGAGCGGTGGCCCAATGCTTGGCGCTGTGCGCTGTTTGTCTCGAGTTCAGCAACAGTCAAACTGCTTCTCTCCCATCGGTCGACTTGGCCTGGTGCGGCGTGGAAACACCAACTTTGGGGAAACAAAGGCGGCCGGGCGTGGTGTTCTTAATAGGTGCTCGCTAACAACCCTTGCAGATGTAGTGTTTATAAAGACGAAGTCACTTCTTATGAGGCACACTGTTTATTGAAATTCCTTTTCCACACAGTCCTTAACACACAGAGGGGTATACGGTCCCCTCACCTGATACCCTAATGAGGTACAGCCTCCGGACCTACACACAGGTCTCCTTGATACCCAAGGAGGTACAGCCTCCTATCTTGGCGGGACTTACACGTCTACCCTATTCCAGAGTCCTCCGGCTGGGACCTAGGGGAGGCTATCTGACCCACCGCTGGCCCGGTGGGTCCTGACCACTGGATACGCCGAGCCTTATACCTCAGAAGGGCTGGAAGGCTGGTCCAGGGACCTAGCTAGTTTTCAGCCCGGGCTTCGGTCTTCGTGTAAAAAGAGAACTCCCCGAGCTCTGCGCGGTCACCCTTCTTATACCCGTTTGTGGCCAGGTACAACCAATCCCACATTCCCACGTGGAACTGGCTGATTGGTTCTCCCCAACTGTGGCTACGATCCACTTCACCTCGTCTGACCCCAGCCGTGATGTACACCGAGGTAACACTGCACTGCCCCCTTGATACCTGGTGGCAATGCAGGTTACCGAACAGTGCGTAGTTAACACCTCTACACAGACAATGTCTCCTTCACATTAGTGCCTCGCCACATACAAAATATAAAGTATCCCCTGCACACCCCATCAGCCCCACGGCATCCTTCTGGTAGTGAATAATTTCAGCAGCATGTTTTCAACACAAGTGAACCCCTGGTTGGGTTTCGACATTCAGTGCCTCGCCAGCAGCGTCAGGCTCGCTCGAATCAATACCGTGAACTGACAAATGTGTATCGGCAAGGGCCCTCTCTTCAAGACATGGCTCGTATGGTCGTTGTGGAAGACATTAAACAAATAATTGGCCTGTTCCCGTGGTTCAGCTGTTTTGTGTGTGGCCACGGCGCGTCCGCAGCCCCACCGTGCACACACTCAGAGTTGCACAAGCGCCGCGCGGTTGTGCAAATACCTCCGATTCAACATTCAAACATACAAGGAGACATTCACCCGCGCAGTCCTCCCTCCAAGGACCTCGAGATTAGTCGCACGGCTAGCAACGCGGTCACCGAGAAGACAAAGGCGGCAGAACGTAAAGTTCCACGACCACCTCCTCGTGTCTCTTCCCGGCCTGGGTGGGCGTTGGCTAACAGCACCTGGCCCAAAAGCCTCTAATCAGCTGTTGAAGGTTGCGGCGTTACTGACGAGATGCTTCTACCCGGGCGAGAGCAGGCTGGGTGGAGTTCTTTTGTAAAATTGAACGGATTGCTGCGAAGCAGCAAAGCAATCAGTCCACTGCTGGATGAGGGCCCTTCCATGTCTAACAGAGACAGTGGCCCTTGTCTGTCAATATCTGGCAGATCACCAGCATTGTTTTAAGCGAGCCTGACTCTGCTGATGAGACAGCGAAACCAAAAAACCGGTCCAGGTTGCTTCTAATAAACCAATTATGTTGGTAAGATGCACTCCCGGAACGCCGTGTGGCGTATGGGATGTGTTAACTGATAGTTTTCATTTTATTTGTATGTCGAGGAACAGCTGTAGAAGGCGAATTCTCCGCTAAACTCTCCTGTAGCTGGGTGTGATAGGTGGTCGCTAACAGCGCCTGGCACGCCCGTTTGTTCCGGGGGTCTGTTTGCGTGATCGTTAACCCGTTTCTACATCGACAAAAATCCACAATGAGCGTTTCGTGAATGATTCACAGAGCCAGGAGCCACGGGCAATAACCGTGACCGCGATGGCAGAATCCGTGGAGTGCCACGTAGAGTGCAGGAGCAGGCGACAGCGACAGCCGTGGAGTGCCACGTGGAGATGGCGGCGACGACGAGGGAGGTTTCTGATTGTGCTGCCCTCCTTTACGCCGGGATTGTCTCCTAGCAAGTCACATGGCATCTCATCTAAAACACATTTGAAAGGGCACCCCAGTGGCATCTATCCCTGTGCGGCACAAGGCGACTCCACATCTGGGCCTGCAAGCATTCGTCGGCCAGGAGAGTGATGATTTCTGCTGCTGCTGTGCAATCCCACTGAGGCGTAGCAATGCTATGAAGGTGAAGAGTAAAGGCGCAGCCTTGCAAGCACTCCCTGAGGCCAGGGCTGGTGGAAGGGCCTCCGGTAGCGAGAGCTCTACACAGGGTATTTGGCCTACTCTTCCACGCTTCGGCTTTGACAAAGAATCAAACTTTCAATGTATTTGACTGTCCAAATGCCGTAATTGCAGTAAGATCCTTTCTAATTCCATACAGCTGTGCGGCGGTTAGGGACCGTAAGATAGCACCTGGAAGGGCAGGTGTGAACTTTACAACGGCATCGTCTAGCAGCAGGGAAAGGCGATGGCGAGGTTTGTTGATGCCACCAGCATCGGCCGTGAGGACTGCTCAATCTTGGCATTTTAGTCGGTCGACGATGGTGGGTACACGAGCCACTGCACCCGGTGATCTTCACGTGGAGTTTCCAACAGTGGTGGCCCAGGGGCTCCAGTGAACGTGGAGTGAAGAAGTTTGGCCTCAGGGGTTTTCGAGCCTCGGTTTCGCCGCCCGCCGCAGGAAGCAGCGACGAGGCGACCGCTCCATGCCGTCCCCACTCTTCTCTCTCTCTCCTCTCTCCCCGCGCCCACGGACACCGACATCCACCAATAAAAGCGCCACAAACACTCAGGTCACCGCCGATGACCCAATCGCCCGTAATGCGCCACAACTCGTCTGATGCTAGGGCAGCTTTGTATGGTGAAGTATGCTTAAAATAAAACCGAGATCCCACACAGCGTGGCCAGGACCACACCCAGCAGCGGATAAAAACACAACAATGTCTGTAGGGGAACACACACCTGTATTTTATTGGGATCCATAACCGTGTGCAATTAAAAAGCACACGGACAAAACCACGAAGCAAATGATCCTTTAAAACACAAAAACACACACCACTCTCAAACACAAACACTCACCACTCAAGTACACACACACCACTCTCAAGCACAATCGAGGCAGACGCAGCGACCGTCCGTCGCGCATAACAGAAAGCCCCCCCCCCACCCCGTGCCCGCAGTGATTGGCACGTTGCGCTCAAACCCGGCGACCTCAATTTGATTCCCGGGCACGGCTAACATCAGTGGCGAGGGATATCAGAACCTGTCCTGGTTGTTGCGTGCGGTTCGGGGGCCAATGCGAGTCTTGTTTCCTGGTGTGGTGGGGGCGCTGGGATCACGCTGATGACGACACAGTTGCTGCTCAGTGACAGGGAGGGGAGTTGTGGATGGAATCTTCAGTCGGGGGCCACTGCCCTGCTTCCTCCCCTGGGAGATGTTACCGTGCAAGGTGCGGGCCAGGGAGTGTTGGGTGCAAGGGGCGAATTGATGGCTGGAGGGAGTGATGGGTGTGTGAGTGGTGCAGGAGAAAGAGTGCTGCGAACGGGATGCTGGGTGTGGGAGAGGGTGCTGGGTGTCACTCCATTTAGGATCTGTGCATGCTCTGTGCACCGGGTGCGTCCTTCAGCTCCTGCAGGGAGGCACGGTCATGCAGGGAAAAAGAGAGAGGTCAGACACGATCATTAAATGGCAGTCAAGTGTCCCTAGAACCACACTGGAGCGCGCCGAGACAAGAGGCAGAACTGGCCATGCAGGTACAAGAACGAGCCGAGACGGTACAGCGAGGAGGAGTCCATCCAGCGATTCGCGATCACACTGGACAGCGCCGTAGCCACCGCGGTGCAGCACGCAGGGGCAGCCTCACCGGGGCCCGTGCCCCACAGGGGCCCAGGCGCCGGGCTACGAAGAGGCGCGAAAAATTGGGCAGCTGGTGGTAGGGGAGCAGGGCGGGGGGAGGCAGCAATGCCATCCCTTGCATCCACGCTACACCGGTGGACGGGGGGATTTGTTCTGGACAGCGATCGCTTCTTCAAAAGCCGGGGAAAGTGGGAGCGAGTGAAGCAGACGCAGCTCGGAACTGGAATGCAGAACAGAGCGGCGGGGCGAGTGAGCACCGCCGGCTGCCCGTGCGTGCCCCTGGCCACGCGAACTCAGGCCTCGCCGCGGTGGCAGCCGACAGGAGCGCTGGGCGGTGGTGGCTGCGCCGCACGCGGCACCGCTCGGCATCCTGTAACTCGGCCCTGGAGGCAACGAGGGGTGGTGGATCACACACAGATGGTGTAAAACTCCCTTTCTGTGGGCGTCGAGGTGCCATTTCCTGTCTCACCAGGAGAAGGCAGGGCAGCAAGTGGACTAATCGCCATCTGTTTCCATCTGTACGGGGATTGAGCGCTTCCCCCTCGTGCAAGGCATGGACTTTCTCCAGGTGCTCCAGTTTCCTCCCATTTATATAAAACACTCATCATCAATTGGCTGGAAACATCTTAAAATCAAAATCCAGTGCAGCAGCAGGATCCTAATGAAAAAAAGAGTCCTAGGACTCCGTGTGGCTCTGCTGGATAAGTAGATTATAATAATTATTACCATAGGCACACCACTTGGGGGGCCTTGCAGCCCAACAGCTACGTCAGACAGGTGACAAGTCGCTGATGACAGATTGTCCACACTTGTTGACAGACACACCGTTGTTCTGTACGTGTGTACGACCCTTTGTCAATCCACTGCTGGATGAAAGAGTCCCCATGCCGTGCGGTAGCCGGGTTTTTTTTCCCGCGCATCGCTGCGCAGGCCACAACAAGGGTCCGCGATGCCGCTGGACACTCAGGCTATCGGTGGCTGGGAATCGAACTCGAGTCACTGGGTCCATAGTGCAGTGGCACCAAGCACGGTACCGCTGCCGACACGAGAGCAGATATCAGCAGACGGCCTCTCAACCGCGACTGTAAAGTTTACGGTGAGCCACACAGGACTCCCCGGCACCGCGGGGCTGTAAAGCCGCCAGCTCGCAGGGGCACAGGGCATCTTCAAGGCCACACGGCTTCCGCAGACGGTTTGCTATTCGTGTAACGTGCATCTGCGTGCCATGGACAGGCTGCCTGCCCATCACGGTAATGTGGAATTTTCACCACCGACTCAGAACCGCCAACAGAGCGTGTTCGAGCAGCAGTCACACTTTATTCCGACTCCGTCATCATCACGTGACCCATGATCAATCTTTCACCCTTGTGCGGCGTAACAATCGGCCCCGAGCCGATTCCCCCGCTCCGTCTCCCTCTGGGGCGCGCTGCCCCCCCACGCGGCCCTCACGACGGCCGTGCCCTCCCGCGAGAGACGCCGGCAGCAAAGCCGAGCGCGGTCGGCTCCGCGAGGTCGTGACCTTTGCCTTCAAAGGTCACGACCTCGCGGACGCCGCCCGCGGGGCCGGCGGCGCACACGCACCCGAGCCCCATTGGACGCTCCGGAGTTCGCTTTGTGTGACCGTGTGAGAACTTGGGAGGCCAGGATGGGAGTCTCATTGGCAGGAGTGGCGGGGATCCCCAAAAGGGAGAAAAGCAACAGCACTGAAGCAAAAAAAGAAGTCGGAACAAAAGCAACTGCGTCGTCGCGTGAGAAATAAAACATTCGTGTTTGCGGCTGCTTCACCCCGTGACACGTTCACTCCTCAAACTCCCCAGCCAGCGCAGCGAAACGTCGAACATCGTGCCCAACAACGCACAGTGCACCGATTTGACATTATGCGGGAGAAAGAATTGGCTACAAGGCTTCGTACCTCTCCCACACGCCGGTGACTCGGGGCTGCGAATCTATTCAAGAACACTCGACATCGTGGCGTCCTGTGGATCGCTCCCCACGTTCCGCGTCGTTCGATCGATGTCGCTCAGCCCCGTGGGCAGGGATGCCCAGACGTCTATTGAGGCTGGGGGCAAAGACGCCTACCCCGGGGTAACGTTACTTAACCCCATGCCTGGCAACGCCCTAAACTCCACCTTTTTGCGATTACCAAACATTTTGGTTCCTAAGCAAATCGAGGCACTGCGCAATGCGCGCCGTGCTAGCCGTGCGGTAATCGCAGGGCGTGCGGTAATCGCAGGGCGTGGACACGGGAGTTGGGAAACGCTACGCCAGAGGGCAGGTATTGGGTTTCGGTTTGGGTCACGTCCCCACAACGAAATCGATGGCCACGGGTTCTGCCCGAACGTCATGAAATGTGGCATTCCACAACGTCGAGACTTTCCTACTGGAAGAACAATGCCCACTTGCAGGGATAGCTGCCCCCCTATTGCTGGATTGCAGCAAAGCATTGGGAAACATGACGCAAGGCGCTTGGAATCGCCGAATTTAAGCCGTTTAAATCCAAAGTGTTATCGTTTAAGTTGACATAAGGTCAGTGGGGGTGGGGGTTAAGGGTCACGAGGGTGGGGGGCTTACCCTCGCTGTCTGAATGATGACGCAGCACGGGCAGAAGAGGGAGTAGACGAGGTCCATGCAGAAAGAACCCTACGCACACACACACACGCGGTGCTTTACACACGATACGTATGTAGAGGGGCAGCATCAGGTTCTTACCTAGCTGCATGCGGTAGAATTCCACGTGGAGCAGCAACCAGGGCGATTGATCCCGCACTCACAAAATAACTCCAGCCACTCGTGAATAGTCGCCTCTTTGTCACTCTTCTTTCATCTCTACTCGCATTGGTTGCTGTGAACTTCACTCGTTGATTCCCCGATACTGACTGGGTTATCTCATCCACCACCACACTGCAAGTCACACCACTCCCTCACCCACCCCCACTGAAAACTGCAGATCTCACCACTCCCTCACCCACCCACTCACCACTGCAGGTCACACCACTCCCTCACCCACTCACCACTGCACGTCTCACCACTCCCTCACACACCCACTCACCACTGCAGGACACACCACTCTCTCACCCACCCACCACTGCAGGTCTCACCACTCCCTCACCCACTCACCACTGCAGGTCACACCACTCCCTCACCCACTCCCACTCACAACTGCAGGTGTCACCACTCCCTCACCCACCCCCACTGACCACTGCAGGTCACACCACTCCCTCAGCCACTCACCACTGCAGGTCTCACCACTCCCTCAGCCACTCACCACTGCAGGTCACACCACTCCCTCACCCACTCACCACTGCAGGTCACACCACTCCCTCACCCACTCACCACTGCAGGTCACACCACTCCCTCACCCACTCACTACTACAGGTCACACCACTCCCTCACCCACCCACTCACCACTGCAGATCTCACCATTCCCCTCACCCACCCACTCACCACTGCAGATCTCACCATTCCCTCACCCACCCACTCACCACTGCAGATCTCACCATTCCCTCACCCACCCACTCACCACTGCAGGTCACACCACTCTCACCCACCCACTCACCACTGCAGATCTCACCATTCCCTCACCCACCCACTCACCACTGCAGGTTTCACCACTCCCTCACCCACCCACTCACCACTGCAGGTCACACCACTCCCTCACCCACCCACCACTGCACGTCTCACCACTCCCTCACCCACCCACTCACCACTGCAGGTTTCACCACTCCCTCACCCACCCACCACTGCAGGTTTCACCACTCCCTCACCCACCCACCACTGCAGGTTTCACCATTTCTTTCAAGTTTCTTCCCTCGCATTGGTCCACTTTGGGATCCCCTCTTACAGTAATACCCTCGCGCAATGCAAGACACGTGTCCACTCTCATCCTGTACAACTCTGATGGTGCGTTTTGTTGCTGGCCGCTGGACGTTGTGGGAATTTGGCTCCTGTGCTCAGCAACTGTTTAAAAATACCATCTAAAATATGAAGAATGTTCAAAAAGACAAAGATCCGCCATAAAGCAAGTGACCAACCCCACACCCGGCTGCCTTTGTCTCCCTAGTGCCGATGTTTACACACTGCACCAGGTACTCATTTGAGGCTCACTCAACCGAGGGTAAGGCCCAGAGCCGATTAAAATATTCGCCACGGTTATTGGTCACGAGTGGGAATCGAACTCGTGTCGCCGGGTTCGTAGCACAGTGTGCGAACCGCTACACTACCGTCACACACACACATTATATATGTATTAGTTTAAGGGCCAATACTTTTATTGGCAAATGTGTTAACTTTCTAAACATTCAAATGCGCTGGGCTAGGGGCCTCTTTGTTAACCCTATTTGCTGTACTGTCTCCGACGTGGCCCGCATGCCCAGAGGGGCACAGAGGGGCTACACGAGTCGGTGGTGACGCCGCAGAGCACAGTGGCGATGCGAGCCACGTGGCTCTCTACACAAACACGACGATGGGTGATGACGACGAGGATGATGAGGCGTGATGAGGCGTGTTGTGATGCGTAATGTCGCTTGCGCAATACATCCGAGTGGCGTCGTCATCATCCTAATCAGCCATGATCGATCAACTGCTGGATGGTGGTCTCCTCCGAGCTGTCGCCACCTCTCACGATGTCGAGGACTCCACACAGCCCCTGCTCCACACACGAGGAGCCGACTCCATCATAGACCCATCGCCTGGCTGCCGTCGTCGTTCGTCGTTCGTCGGCACCGTGGGCCACGAAGACTCGGGACGGGACGTGCCCGGTTGCGCGGATGATGTTCAAACACCGCGGTGGCTGCTCAGTTCGCGTTTCTTTGTTGAAACGGTAGCGAAATAACGCGGTTTGGTTTCGTGCTCCGGGTGCGTTTTACGTGCCCGGTAAAAGCGGCGACCGGTTTTTATAGCTGCTTTAATGCGGTTATCGGAAATGCACGAGATCGTGATCTCCTGCGTGCAGACGGCGTGTCGAGTGGAGCCAGCGCCACTCCCCCAGTCGCCTTGGGCTCGCCGCCAATCGAGGGGCGCGGCCCAATTCACCATCCAGGCTCGGGTTGATTCAATTGCATCATCACCAACACCACCGTCAACACAGCCATCGTCAATGGTGGTCACCATATTACCATCACCACCATTATTTTATGTAGGTATGCGTGGGTCGCTATGGGTTTACAATACGGTCCAGAGTTTGGGTCGCACGACCACAATCGCAACACTGTGGCTCGTGTCTTTAATTTGGACATATGTGAAAAAGCGCTTCATAGCTCATCGGATTCCCGCCAGTATAAAAACTTATTCTTATTCGGAGATGTGGTGCAACATCGGCCTGTAGTTGATGTTCTGATGCGATCGATGGTTACACCGCGAGTGTCGAGGAAGAGGAGGAATGCGAGAGGCAGAAGGAAGTGTGACGATGTGTGTGGATCTGAAAGGAGGAGGAAGAGGTGTCGTCTATTCTGGAGGTGCTCGCTCCTCATGAACAGGGCGCCGCTGAGCGGCCACGTGACCTTTGCACGGCGATAGCTGCTGCTGCTGACGTCGGGGAACGGATCCAGGTCCCGCGAACACCAAACGCCAAACGGGCAGCAACAAATAGCACAATTGCCGTCGCAGTTTGTAAAAACACGTTTCTTAAATAGAGCGAGGTTATTTCTAGAAGACTTGAAAGAAAAACCGCGGTGAGGGACGTCTAAAGTCACAAATTGCTAAGTGGCCAGCGACGTCACCCCTGGCTGTTTATCAACTCAAAAGCCTGGCGCCGTTTGCACAGGCTCGAGATTGCACTCGAGCCTGCAATCATGTGTCATGTGGTCTAGCAGCGAGCTATGTCATCAGTGCAGCGATGATCGTCGTGATAATAATGGAGGTTGCGGTTTTAGCGGAGGTAATGTGTAATGGTGATTATCATAGTGGAAGCGATGATGATTAATATAAGTGGAAGTAATGGTAATGATGGCGGTGATGACGATGGTCAAATAGCGGAGGTGATGACGGTCGCCATCACCGTGATTGACGCGACGGTTCGAAGTGTTGAGTAGCTCGATGCCAATGTCGAGATCTGCTGGCCACGACGAGGGACTTCAGGAGGAGAGGAGTCCGTGTCGTGTCGCCGTTCCTACCCCTCTTCCGTTGAAGGTGCGCAGACTCGCACTGCGAGTACTCTATGGCGAGAATTGCATGGCCACAGTGGCACTGTGGCTGGTCTTTAACTCATCTCTCTGCGTCACTGTGCATCTCCATGGGTCTACAGTATTGGTGTACAGTTTGGGTTGCATGGTGAGACTCGTCCCACCGCGGTTCGTGTTCAGTGCATCTCGATGTGTCCCTATCGTTGGAGTGTATGGCCCATAGCTTGGCGATAATGATGGTGATCAGCCAACGCGCGCGCCTACAACCGCCACCGCCGGACCCACGACGCATCAGCGCGCGACTCACGTCTATGCCGCGCATCTCGCGCGTCTTGGTTCGACTCTGCGCCACGAACCACCAGCCCAGGCAGTAGACGAAGAAGGCGGCGCCGCAGAGGCAGCAGCTGCCCTGGCCCGTGTCCTCGGCGTTGTGCCCGGCCAGGATGCACGGGCAGAAGTAAGTCTGCAAGCACATGCCGCAGTTCCCGAAGCAGCCGAACAGCCCGTAGGTCCAGTCCCCTCCCATGGCCGATCAAGATGAAGAACGCGAAAGAGATGGAAGTTTCGGTTCTGTTGGAACACCGCGAGGGTTGCTGCCGAGCTGCGCTGCCGAGTTACTCGCGGGGGTGGTGGTGGTGCCGAGTGCGGTGCGAGCAGGGGACGCGCGCCTATATCTGGGCTAGGGAATGGAGAGGATCACCGCGGCGCCGCCTCCGCACCCAACCCCCAATCGCGATCCCACCACCACCACGCCTCGATTATTGCACTCGCTCGCCTCCCTCGACAACACCCGCACAGCCTCTCCCATCTCCCACCCCCTCTGCGTGTGTCTCTCTAAGCCCTACATATATACAGACACAAAACATTCATGGACGAACCAGTAACAATATTCGGAATGGGTGACCAGTTCTGAAATTAATCGGTTACCCATTCCAGAGGAATATTAGGAACGAATGCACGAACTGTCACGCGCTAACGGACAAACCGTACGGCGTGGTACGGACACTGTGCCCTGCTTTCTGAGTTTGTACGTAGCCAACCGCGCTGTGCGACAGAAGTTCAGCATACAAAGGGGCAGCCCTGCAAGTGCTCGCTCACGCCTATGTTGGCGGAAGGGCTTCCGCTCGCGGGTGCTCTCGTGGGGTGTATTTGGTTTACTCTTCCACGCTGCCCAGACGTCTGTGAGGAGGTGGGGGCGCGCCCACACTTCACCCCGACACAGTGCGAGCTCGTCCCAGTCGACTGTGGACGCACCCAGCGACTGCGACACCTCTGGGTGCCCAGGCCCAGCTGTGCCGCCGGCCACAACTCCCCGGAAGCGCCCTTCGCATCTCAGGTTAAAAGGTCAACGTGCTGTGTCGCTCACTGCTTGGTACGTCTAGACGTGCGGTAAACCGGTAACCGTTATATTCGAATCGTTGATTTCCATTCGATTACTGATAATGCAGAAAAACACGATTTTAATAGCCTCGTAAAATACAAAGGTCCCCCCGTATAGCCTGAACAGGCTGTCGGGGCAAGTGCTGTTAGCAAGCAGCTATAAAGACCGGACGAGAGGCGCCGACACGCGGCCACACGTGACGGCAGCCCGGAGTCGCGGCGACACCGCGGTGGCTGTGAACGCACGCGCAGCTGCTGCGATGGTTGAAGTCGCGGTCAATCATTACCCCGAGTGGCAATGCGCTACACGCTTTAGGGAGCCAAAACATTACGCCTCATTCACCTACCCAATACAGTAATACGAATACCCCTTAATACTGTAAAAGTATTTTTTTACACATCCCATCAGCCACACGCACGACCTTCCTTATGGGAGTGCATCATTTCAACCCGCGCTGGTTTAAACACGCAGCGTGACACGGGGTGGGGGGGGGGCGATTTAGACATCAAGTTACTTATCAACAGTGAAGCGTTGCTCGAGCCCAATGTTGGAGAGCTGTCATCTGTTTATAGGCATCGGCATAACCGTGAGATTCATGGCGATTGCTGCACTCGTGTTGACAATCATGGAATACTACAGCCTCACCTTGTCGTGACGAGTCCCGTATTTGAATATCTGACTGAATGCCAACTTATGACCTGCACCGTAAGGAGGAGGCACACACTCTGCAATGAGAGACTTTGAACCGCGGCTATGCCCTCAACACAGAGTCGCGACATGGGCCCGAGTCGAGCCGTGCCCATGGCCCGGGCACGCGTTTGCTGCCATGCCAACTGGAGCTGCGATTCGCGTTGCAGTTTCGCTCGGTGCTCAGTTCCACGCGTTAATGCGCAACAAGGGCCCTGGCGCCGGTTGACCCGCAGGTGACCCGCAGGTGACCCGCAGGTGACCCGCAGGTGACCCGCAGGTGACCCGCAGGTGACCCGGTGAGCGCAGCGTGCCCCCCCCCCCCCCGTGGGTGCTGTGTGGCCAGGCGAGAACCCCACAAGACCGGGCGAGTCTCATGCTCAAGAGCGTGGACCCGCACACAAATGACAAAAGCAAAACGAATAAAGTGCAGCAGTGGAGAAAATGGCAATGTCAGCAAACAAAAGAATCCGGCAAATAGAAATCTGGGCAATAGTAACATGGCACAAATCCGGCATGTAGTGTGGTGTTGTGTGGTGTGGTGTTGTGTGGTGTTGTGTGGTGTTTTGTGGTGTCGTGTGGTGTTGTGGTGTGTGCGCTGTGGTGTGTAGGTGGTGTTGTGGTATGGTGTGTAGTGTGTGCTGTGGTGTGTAGTGTGGTGTTGTGGTGTGTAGTGACTTGTCCCCAATTACAGTCGGGTAGAATAATACAGAAACGTGACGAAGAGGCGCACCTTGTACTCTCGTGGTAGTGCCTTACGTCGATGATTATCTCGACTGAAAGGCAGAGACATGGAGGTCGCGCAGCGCAGGCTCCGTTGAAGCGCGCGATTGGGGAGACGATCGCGAAATCTCCCCCCAACTCGGCGCCCGCACGGCGTGTCCCCACACCACACTGCCCCCCTCCCCCTAGCAAAGCGACCGGGAGCCATGAAGAAGGATGTGCGAATCCTGCTCGTGGGAGAGCCCAAGGTGGGCAAGACCTCACTCATTATGTCCCTTCTGAGTGAAGAGTTCCCAGAGGAGGTGCCGGCCCACGGAGAAGAGATCACGATTCCAGCTGACGTTACGCCAGAAAAAGTGCCCACACACATTGTTGACTATTCCGCTGCAGAACAAACAGATGATGATTTGCAAGATGAAATTTTAAGGGCCACATGTAATCTGTATTGTGTATGCGGTGGATAATGAACGTTCCATTGAAAAGATCACAAGTAAATGGGTTTCCTCTCATCAATGAAGCTATTGAGAAAGATGAGCGGATTCCCATAATTCTGGTTGGTAACAAGTCTGACGGGGTGGACCACAGCACCATGGAGGCCATCCTGCCTATCATGAACCAGGACACGGAGATTGAGACCTGCGTGGAGTGCTCAGCCAAGACCCTGAAGAACATCTCGGAGGTCTTCTATTATGCCCAGAAAGCCGCGCTGCATCACACCGCCCACTCTACCGCACCGAGGACAAGGAGCTGAAGCCAGCTTCCATCAAGGCCCTGACACGAATTTTCAGAATCTCGGACCAGGACAACGACGGAGTCCGGAATGACACCGAACTCAACTTTTTCCAGGTGCTCGTCGATGGAATGTGCGATATGGTAATAGGAAGCTGATGTGTGCAAGTTTGGTGGCCTGTCGTGCAATTCACGCACTGAGAGGAAGTGGCAGCATAGGCTTGAGGGTCAAATGATCAGTCAGTTTTCACGTTAAGTAAATTAACTTGACCCATGATAAACATTGAATCATTCACAGTAATATACGAATGTCATGATCTTTCCTTGCCTGTCCAACAATTCAATTAGTTTTTGAGATTTGTAGTCTTGCTGGTTTATCCAGGATGTTTCTGTTGCGCGTCGTCGCTTTAAGATGTTCTGTTCATATTCTGTTTGTTGCGGTTGCACCCGACTCAAGAGCCGCATGGCTCACAGGGCTGTACCTAATAAATGAGACTTGAATTTGATGCGAGGGAAAGAGTTCACTATCGCGACCGAGATATCTTCGACGTACAGAGTTACGCAACTCCTCCACCTACACTCGCAATTGTTGCGAACATTGATTTTGAATGGTGACATTTGAATGGCAAGGGTGGCGGATGGGTACTCCTACATTCTTTAAAATACCACTCACAACTGCAGCACTCTCCCCCTTCTGTGACACGCAGCGCCAACACAAACACGACAGCGCTGACTTGTACCTGCATGTTTCTCGCCCTCCTTGCTCTCAGCGCTATTTTTGCACCGTTTTAGACTCGTGCGCGTTCTGTTTATGACCGTTAAACACCTCGTGTGTTCGTTGTGCAATATTCCTTACGGCCCTTATCTCGTTCTCGACAAAATCGATATCTTTATTTGTGTTGCTACTGGGCTAGACGGGACCTACATCCGCCTATGTCAACTCGGCCTTAAATGAATACTGGACATCTGTGAAAAAGGGCTTCAAAGGGCTTCATAGCTCATCGGGTTTCCCGAGGATAAATAAAGATTCTGATTCTAAAAGATTCTGAGTAAAATAGTAGTCGAAGTAGAGGCAGTCTCCTGTATTGAACCCGGAGATACCAGGTGAGTCGCCCTGTGTGGAGCTCCGTCGCCTCTCCGCGGAGTTTCCCTCGCGGCCCCACGAGAAGAGACTCCCCCCCACCCCCCAGGAGGACGGTGGTGCTGGCCACACCACCCCCTTAAAGAGATGCTCTCTAACAGCACTTGCCCCAACATGCTGCTCAAGGCTATACAAGGGATGTTTGCTTTTGTGTGTGCCACGCCTGTTAGTGTGGGTACAAAGGGTGGGAAGCATGGGCGCTTGTGTGCTTTAAGCACTTCAATAAATATGGCGGCGTAACGAGCAGCGTTACCCTTGCATCATCATCCAGCTTTCCCACCTCATGACGACGCTTGTGTTGCGCCAGAAACGTCGCGATTTATTTTATTTGATACCTACGTGACTTTACCGAAAGAACCAAAGAGTATGGATTCCTGCAGCCACCAAAGCTTCAAATCAAGAGAGCACATATCGTTAGGAAAGTCTATTTAAATGCCCAGCTGGTAGATGGACAAACAGCGAGTCTTGTAGATGTGTAGTTCACGTGAGATGCACGAGACTTGTGACCAGCGCACCCTGAGATGCACCCTACCCGTCTCTCGCCTCGCCAGTCAAACCGCGTGGCTGCAGCGCAGCAACACCCAGCGGAGTCGTTCTGCACGGCCCGCCCCGCCTTCACCAACCCGCAGGGAAGTACGGTGAAATATCCAAAGTGATTGGGAGGCCCTCATCCAGCAGTGGATCCATAACACGGACTGTGCACGAACATTTCACATTATCCAGTGGAGGTGTCGGCTATCCGCTATCACGGCTGAGGGCCCTTGCTCACGGTAGAAACCGCACAGCGCCCTGCCCCATTCTCGGCTGGGTGCGGCACCGACCTTGATCGTCACCAGTGACCATCATCATCAGCAGTGATCAATCAACAGTGACTCTTCACTAAGATAATCACCGATGCCCTTCATCATC